TTTTTTTTTGGAGGTTTTCTTATGTGAGCATTTGAGCAGGCATAGTGAGTGAGTGAAATGATTCGAGGGTTTTGGGGAGGTATTAGAAGCAGCTTCAGCTAGTAGTACATGCTGCTTTAGCTGTTGGACCTCATTTTTTTCTCAAAAAAAAAAAAGAAAGTAATATCTTAACATTCAGCCCTTCACATAAACTGCAAACTGGTGTAGTAAAGTATTTTGTTTGTTTATGAAAAGTATTAAGCTTTTAACTAAACAAATCTCCCCCTATATATTAATTCAAAACGTGGGGAGTTTAAGTGGCAGAGTCTCACGTTTCAGATACTGACATGACGAAAATCTATGCTTCGTAATGTTTTTCTTGTATTATTTTTTGCTGTGAAATTAGATTTAATATTAGAAATAAATAACTTTTATCATATATTTCTTAACGTCACTCGTATTGTGCTAATTTTGTCTGTTTATGAAAAGCATTAAGCTTTTAACTAAACAAATTAATTACTACTTAATACTGATGACATGGTTATTTCTACAAAATAAGCAAAATATTCTTGTATGGAAATTGGAAAGGCTAATCGTTACTTGTTGCCCATCACATTTTTGGATTAATAAATTGTGAAATATTATACTTTTATTTATATTTTTTTAGATATAAAATTTGAATTTAAACTATTTTTCATTGAACAAATGTGATAGTTTATTCGTCATGTTTTGTCTAACCATAGTCTAACAAATATGACATACTTTAATGTCATATTTTAATAAACAACGTAAATAGAAATACAACATATGATAGTCTGTAAACAAGGAGCTACCAAAATAAAACAAAATAAAATAAAATAATAATAATAAAAAAAAATATGGGAATCAGTAGTGAGTAATCAGTAATCAGTCTCAAACACATATAGGCTCTAACATCAAAGCAAACGCTGCTTCCCAGTTACTGAATCCACAGCTGATTTATTTCCTGCTCAGCCACAAAAAATAAATAATATAAATCATGATAGAATATTTTGTACAGACCTTTATAATCTACTAAATCGAGAGCCCCAGTCGATATAGAGAGCACTACATAGAATAAAAACTGGAAAATCGTACGAAATCTGCGAAAATATTCCACCTAAATACAGAACTTCTCTGTCATTTTTTGGTAAATCGACTTTCAGCTGATCATAAAGGAAGAATTAGTACAAGAATGTGTCTCAAAGTGTCAACTCTTATATTGAGTTATTCAAACATTATTGACCAACAAAGTAAAAGGCCAAGTGAAGTTCATATCCACATGAAAACCTAGAATCAATGGGTTCCTATTTTTTTTTTTTTTTTTGGTTCAATGATGCGAATAAGAAGGCTTGCGTATTCCGGTAAATTGTTCAGAGAGATTTAAATTATACTTAAATATCTGGAGAGTAAACAAAATATGCTCGATAAATTTTCACTTTAGAGTTTCATTTATCAGTGGTTTGTGCTTGATGCTTGTTTGGTATATTTGTTTCATGAAGAACTAATTATAACAGTTCATGAAGAACTAATTAGAGTTTCATGAAGAACTAATTATAACAGTAAAACTAACTAACAAAAAAAAAAGGAGTGCTTAGAGAAAAAGAAGAGAGGATTAAATGAGGAACTAACCAGGTCCAATAGCAAGGACTGTTTTCGACCCAGCCGAAACCTGCACACCAAACAGCCAAAATCTTGAAACTAATCCTGGTAAATATAAAAAAGGATACTAAAAATTAGTCTAATTATAACTACTCTGTTGTGAAATAGAAGCGATATCAAGCGCACATTACTTAGGGAGTGTTTGTTATTAAATATTTTCAATCCACACTCAAAATCTATCTCAACTTTAACCCAACTCCACAGTCCTCAATATTATCAATATAATTAAATAATATAAAACAATCATTCTTACACATCACATTAACATGTAACACGAACTATATGAACTAGATTAAGACGGAAATAGATTAAGAAATGTTTGAACTATGATAATTTGATAATTTGTTGTTCATTCACCCTCATAATTTAACTAACCATCATTTCACATCATCTCTCTCATACTTTTACATCAAATCAATTTCAATTATTTTATTTTAAATATTATTTTTATATATACTCAAAATCCCCCTAAAAACTAATTACACCATCTTTTTTAAAATTAACCTAAGAACCAAGAAAGCTCATTTTGAGCGGATATATTTGTATCCAAGCACGCCCTTAACTTCTAACTTCTAATTATGCTAGCACTTTTTTGTCGATTACACTAAATCTTATGTACTTCTGGTAAATGAAAAAAAAAGGAAGAAGATATTTTACAGTATTCCATAATTTAAATGCAATACTACCTGTGTTCGCCCAGCATCAGCAACTGTGAAAGTTGGAAGGCCAATACTCTCAGCTGCATCCTTCAGCTTATTCCTTATATGATAAACATATATTGCACAATTAAAAAAATATTTTAATCTATTGAATAAAGAGAGAGGGAACGAGTACAAAATGTAGTGATTATTCAAAAGCTTGAGTTTTGCATTTCAAGCAACATATGAAGCACATACATATTTATGAAAGAGGTAGTATTGGACCTATTGGTAGCTTAGAGAGTTCTTTGTGACTCGGCCAGAACTCGAGGGCCTTTTCATAATCATCCCCTAAAACATTTTACCCAACAAACTATTAAACATATATCGCTCACATTTCTTGCTGATTCTTGCATGTAACGACAATTTTTGCCTGCCCGCAGAGCTCCCATTGCCTCAGAACGTACCGATTGCTGTATTAAAGAAGACATCCTAATTAAAAGTTTAATTAGAAGCATGAAAAACCAAAGCCCAATGTTATTATGATTACGAAAATAAATGCAAATGAAACAAAAAATGAGAGTGGACACTAAAATGCACTATTCGTTGATCTTTATGAGAAAGTAAACTAAAGTTTAACTCAGTGGTGAACCTGTTTAAGAATTGATTTCTAGTCACTTTGAATCCAAAATATATAACCTTTGAAATAGGAAAAGGCTGCAACTTGTAATCCATCTCTTTCTGAGGTAAAATATAGTCGAATATTGAGTGATTAAAACATCGCACGAGTAAAAATATTTGTTACATAACAGCAGCTGTTGGTATATGCCAGATAACATTGCAAAATTGATTAAAAACCTCAATAAGAAACGACACAAGAATCGGAGTTCGAAAATAAACCTTTGCATCAGCTCTGAATACATGCCAGTAGCAGCATCTACACAGCATGCAAAAAGCCACATTGATGAAAAACACAACAATTTTACATATTTATTACATCATCGAATGAAAAACAACCAAATCAACATTTGGGAATACGCTTACGAGCACATTGCGATGCAATCTTTCCAGCTCCCATTTTCAGGTCTTGCCTAACTACAAATACCTGTTAAAAACACTTTCAGTAACCCAACTAAACTAGTATTCTTGCAGGATGTTTACTACATTTCAGCGCTATTTACACGAAATCGGCTCACATTTCTAGTTAACAACTACTCTGTGATAATGATAATCAAAAGGCACTGCCTTTGACATTATCCAACTAAATTTCAAAACAGAAAATAATTTATTTTTATTTTTAAAGAAACTAAAAGGAGCTTGTGGAAGCCTTCACATATGAACATAAAAAGATTAAAAACCCACGAAATAAACAGTAAGAAAAAGAGTAATAAAATCCAAAAGACTTTTTTTTTTT